AGTGGAAGACAGGAGGGCCTGGCGTGCTCTGGTCCAAGGGGTCACGAAGAGTCAGACACGACTTAAAAACTGAACAACAAAATATGCTCATATCTCACTTCTTTAATGAGAACACGATAGCATACATGACTCTTCTGCTTTTCTCTGTTTGAAAATCTTCACAGAACACGATAGCATACATGACTCTTCTGCTCTTCTCTTTTTGAAAATCTTCACAACTCTGTGAAATGTGTTGGGCTGAGAGGTAATGATGGAACCCAGGGGGCTCCATGGAGACTAGAACTTGGATCTCCCCAAATCCCAATCCAGCACTCTCACCACCGCACTGCATTGACCCTGTTACATATTATTTGCATGTAATAGGTAACATCCTCCCTCAAATATTCAGGAAAGAGTAAAGGTACAGACCTCATTGGGCTGTACCATCTCAGCACAGCTGAAGGGGATAACTCAACAGCAATGGTTGAAATCCATTACTAAGTCAGGCCATTGAATAAATAGACCAGGAAGAAGAGTTGATTCACCAGATCCCCACTGATTCATGTAGCTGTGACTTACTACTGGATTTCAGGCATGATGTCCCTTATATTTTGGATATTGGAATTTTAAAGGGGAGAACACAATGAGAACTCGGAGGTATATAGTCATAGGCACATAGAAAGTTCATCTCCCTTTTTATGAGTCAGTTCATTGTTGCATCTAGTTTAGTGAGGCACAGGGAGGCAGACAATCACCTCATCTTTAGATAGAATGAGGCCATCAATTCTGGCAGGAGATGCGGGGGTGTGAGAGCTGAGAGAGAGAGAGAGAGAGAGAGAGAGAGAGAGTTATGTGCCACATCTGGGGACCCAAGATTGAGAACCACTGGTATAGACCATACCATCACCAGAGATGAAGATTCAGTCGGCTTTTGGATATGGTATAAGAGAGAGGCCGATGTCCTTTGCCTCAGACAGCAAAATGTCTTGAAGTGACCCTTGTGTACCTCCGTCTGGCAGGGCATCTCCAGGGTTTCCAGTTTAGGTGTTTCTAATCCTTGCTAGAAGAAGCTGTGGGCTGAATCCGAGGTCTTCTGCATGCCAAGCACATATGATACGCTTTCTTCTTTTCTTTATTTGTATCAGACTGTGGCACAATTTAAAATTATGGAGGTATCTGAAATATAAATTTCAAACACATTTAAAATCATTAAATGGTTAGACTGTTTTTGACAAGAAGTAGGCTATGTCAATAGTGTCATCATTGCCGTTTATTAGATTTCCTTAAGTACCTGTGGTGGGGCATAAATTGCATGCACATAAATGTTGCATTGATTGAGTTTCACCACAATCACAGAAAATTTGTCCTGTAACCAAGTAGCCCCATTTTACTTTATCATTCTTAGATCCTCCTATTTTCCTTCAAGGTGTATTAAGTGACTTCCAGATGGTCCAGCCAGAATCTTGTCTTGATGAGAGACAGTCTTTGGCATTCATCCATTTGGCAAGGTGTATTGTTTTTGCTCTGCATAGGTTTATCCTAGCCTCTTCTATGTGTGCAGAAAACTTTTCCTCAATGTTAGCCATTGTCTATGTGGTTCATATCTATGAAGGGGATTGGTTTGATGCTGTTTTACCTTACAGTAGTATCCCGTATCTGCGGGGATTGGTTCCAAACTCCCCCCCACCGCCGCCATGTTTGTGGGATGGTCTCTGGAGCCCTCTAGTGGCCAGTTCTGGTAACTTCATCTTTAGAAATATATATTTCTAGGATTTTTCTTTGAATATTTTCAAAATTTTCAGCCCATGGATAAGTGAATCAGCAGATACTGATCTTGTGGATGAGAGGGTCCTAGTGTATTTCTTTCACTATTTGCTAGCACCTTTCAATGTACTTCTGAAGGGACAATGCCAGCCAAATAATAGACGTTTTCAGTTTCAGCAGCCAGTAATAAACCTGCATGATTCATTAAAACTACCCACCATTTGTTTGGCATGTGCTGATTTGTGCCATCTAGCACTAGCAGATTCTGCTGTGGAGTTGCACAGGGACAAAAGTGTTGTTCTTTTTGTTTGTGGGTGTGCACTCCAGTCTGATCCAAACATTTTTGTTATTTCTGGTGGCAACTTTCTGTTTGGTATTTAGACAATGTTTTTTGTAGGTCAGAATTAATTAATTAATTAATTAATTAATTAATTAATTAATTAATTAATTTATACCCCACCCATCTAGTCAACTGACTACTCTGGGCAGCTAATAGCATATAATATAAACAATTTAAAATATAAGAACAAAGTAACACATCAATAGACAGTGCTCAAGATGGAAGAAAAAAGTAAATCAAGTAGTGGCTGGTGGGAAGGCTTGCCTAAAAAGCCAGGTTTTCAATTGGCCTTTGAAAATACCCAGCGAAGGGGCCATACGGATCTCAGAAGGGAGGTTATTCCAAAGGCGAGGAGCCACTGCCGAGAAGGCCCGGTTTCTTGTT